GGAGATTCATAGTAGCAGTGCCCATTTGGGCCGCACACGCGCTCCCTGTCTCGCACTGGAGGCTATATATATAGTGCTGTGCAGCCAAATCACCCTCAATTCCTTCTGCATGTCTGAACTCTGAAGTAAAGGGGAAAAAGGCAGATAGTGGAGCACCCACAGGGATACATATTTTGAAGAACCTCAATTACTGCACAAGGTAAATAACCCTCTCTTCTTCTTCAAGCTGTGTCCCTGTGGGTGCTCCACTTTAGGTGACCGTAGAGCAGTGCCCCTTGTTGGAAGGCTGGTGCTTCAGACTTGGACCTGCAAGCAATGATAAGACAGGTAGTCCTAACAGAGCATCTGAGGTTGAATCTTGCTCTATTGCATAATGCTCCCTGAAGGTGTGGGCTTACGCCCAGGTGGCTGATTCACAGATGTCTGTGATGGGTACATTGTTCAGGAAGGCTACTGAGGTAGTGATATGGTGGAGTGTGTTCAAGTTCCCAGTGGGCGTTGCAGATCATGTTGGTGGTAGCAAAGGAGAACGCACCAGGAAATCCATTTTGAGAGCCTTTGCTTGGATTTGGCTGATCCTTTAGATCTTTCCATAACAGAAAGGAATAGCTTGGGTGACTTCATGAAGGGTTTCGGCATAGAATCATAGAATGATAAAAGATTAGGGTTGGAAGACACCTCATAAGATCATCTAGTTCAACCCCCTGCTCAAAGCAGGACAAACCCCAACTAAATCATCCCAGCCAGGGCTTTGTCAAGCCTGACCTTAAAAACCTCCAAGGATGGAGATTCCACCACCTCCCTAGGGAACCCATTCCAGTGCTTCACCACCTTCCTAGTGAAATAGTTTTTCCTAATATAAAAACTAGACCTCCTCCACTTCAGCTTGAGACCATTGCTTCTTCTTCTGTCATCTGCCACCACTGAGAACAGTCTATCACCAACCCCTTGGAACCCCCCTTCAGGTAGTTGAAGGCTGCTATCAAATCCCCCCTCTCTTCTCTTCTGCATACTAAATAAGCCCAGTTCCCTCAGCCTCTCCTCGTAAGTCATGTGCCCCAGCCCCCTAATCATTTCCGTTGCCCTCCGCTGGATTCTCTCCAATTTGTCCACATCCTTTCTATAGTGGGGGCCCCAAAATTGGATGCAATACTCCCGATGTGGCCTCACTAGTGCCGAATA